GGGTTGCCAATGTCAGCCGCCTGGACTACAGTTACCTAGGAACTCAGCAGCATCCAATGAGGTATGTGGAGGACAAAGTAATGCAGAAATCAGAAATGAAGTTAACCAAGCATGGAGAGTTTCAGCAGGCGCCAGTCAGCTGAACTAACGAATTTCTAAATCATATCTAAGTTGGTGTGTTTCTCTAGACAGCATATATTAATTTAAAGTATTCCGCATGTTTGGGAACTATACCTAGTGTTGATCCCTGTTCCTAAGTGTTAATGAGACTCCAGATGAAATCTAGATCCAGACCCAACAGGCCTTTTTTCTCCATGCTTCTATAACACACCTTACCTCCTACTCTCTAGCACTTGTTTGAGATCTATCTATGGAGAAAGATGTAGGTGACAAGTTTTAGGAACATAAGTGACCACAGTTAATTCCTTTCTCCATTGGCATGATCACAACATATGAGTTGTCCTATTCTGTTAGAAATAACTTGTGTTCTTTGTTGAGTAATGCGTGTCTGCATTCCAAATACTGTCAAGGATGGAAATTATTCTGTATCACTGAACTGACACTAAATTGCTTATAAGGCCAATGTGTAATCACACAAAGCTATAATACAGAAGGGTACAATCTCCTACTAAATTTATTATGTGCCTTAAGAGACATGAAAATTGCTGTCATTTTGAAAAACCTACTGATATTGGTGTTGGTGAGGTTACCTGCAGCAGGATCCAGTCATCATGATATCATAACCAGCTGAAGGAAAACTGCATTTAACACATAGCACTAGGGTTCACTAGGGTGATTTCCATTTACTAGTGCTACTGTAACATAGTAACACAAACAAAGTGACTGAGACAGAGGCTAAAATTTCAATATCAAGATATCAACTGGACTACATTCCTTTGGAATGCTAAAGTATCTGTCCCAGCTCTCTTTTCTTGGTTTCTAATCTCATCACTGCAGCCATCACATGGTGTTCTCCTGGATACATATCTAGATGCAAACTCTTTTTTCAAAGGACACCAGATATATTGAGCTAGTAGCCTAATCTATTCCGGAACAACATATACTTAACTATCACAGTTACAGCAACCCTATTTCCAAATGAGGTCACACTGAGACCTACACATTCAACATGATAATTTGGGGTATGCCACAATTCAACCCATGACAAGGGTCAATAAGCCAACATTAAGAATTACCAATTGTCCTTTCACATTATAATAGGCCAGAATAACTACCTTGAAAGAGTAATGTAATCAGAAAGCCTAGGTGCGATAGAAGTCTGACCTGGTAGCCAAAGTAGACACAAGATGTGTGTCTATGGAAAGAATACCTTGTTTATCACTTTCAATACCAGTGGTAAAAAAAAAAAACTGTGGTGAGCCCTTAGCATGAAACTAAGTATAAGTAAGACTTAGGGAAACAGGGGGATAGCACTAGTTTGCTCAGTCATTTGAGAGAAGATGCAAAACTACTTAGTTTTCGAGTTAAAGTCAAAAGACCTAAGGGTATACAATTCCTTTGTTGTAGAGAGCAAGAGCCCAGATGTGCTGATACCCCATCTAGTATCCTTTCTCTACTCCACAAAGACTAAAACTCTGAAATGAGTCCAAGACATCACTGCTGAAAATGCCATCACTTTACACATTACTTCTTCATGAATGGGGAACCCCAAGAGGTGTGGATATCCAAGGCAACTCAACTTGCTTTACCCCACTTAGCCTCATGCTGGCTCTTAACAAGTGTAAGTTAGCACTGCCCTCTAGAGGTCTCCTGCTTGGTCTCCAACTCAGTTTTATCCCCCCTGCACACCCTTTCCTTTCCTAAGTGGAGTGTGTCCAGACAATTGCTTTCAGCAGCACATTTGGTACATAATTAGGTGGGCACAGTCAGTCATCAGCAAGGAGAAAAAGACATGTTTTCTCAGCATGTGTCATAGTTATCCATCACTTCACAGAAACATTACATCATTCATTTGAACTCATTTATGTGCTCTCATCTCCACAAACTGACAGAAAACAAAACTCAGTATCTAACTCCAAAGGTAGCATCCATCTCTATGTATAACATTCACAAAGGAGTCCAAGTACTACTCTAAGAGCATGGGGAACAAGCTACTGCAGACCCATATCAGAAGAGGTTAAGAAACTGAAAGGAACTGAGTGAAATCCCTCTTCCGTGTTCTGACTCTCAGCTCCATCACCAGAAATCCATACAAAGGCACCTAAGGCTGTGTGGTTTTCTCATTTGGTTTTAATCCTTTCCAACAGATGCTACAAAGTAAACAGAGTCTCGAGAGTCTTCAATTCCATGTTCACTTCTGCTAAAAAGATGTGTGACCCTGAGTGACTCCTCTAACCTCCGGAGTTTCAATTCCTCCAACTTTAAAATGAGGGACTGAGTTTAATTAGCTCAAAAGACACTTTCAGCCTTAGTCTTCCATAACTCTCTGCAATCAGTTCTACTCAGCACTAAATCTGGAGTCCAGAAAAATCCATGTTCCCAAAGAGTTGTATTTAATGTCACTAAGAGGCAGTGGCCCATGTTACTAGCCAAGAGATCTGGAGTCTGAACTGCTGAGGATGTGCTAACCTTGTGCTCAAACAAGACTGTCCAGATACCAAAGGTCAACACAGTAGGGAGAAGCCAACAGCCGAAGTCAGAAGAGCACATTCCGTACTTTTAGTAGGTGAAAGTACTGCATGTCCACTGAAGCCCACTTCCTTTGAAGTCAGATGACAGTGTCTGAAGGTGTGGGGACTAGAATTGAAACCTACTGAAGAGAGAACAGCAGGGTGAGCCATGCTTTTACTGTGCCACTCCATTCAGTCTGCTAGTATTTTTCAAGACTTCTTGAAAATACATTTGTCATGGAGATTGACATTCATAGACAATGATGGAAGAAGGTGAAGAACATACAAATGCAGGTCAGCTACCACCACTCTCCCATCCACAGGTTCTGCCCTTTGGATTCCAACAACCAAAGACCACAATTAGCAGGCTGTGGGGACACCTGTATTACATACACATAGGTTTTTATTTTGCATCACTGTTTCCCTGAAAAGTACAATATAATGGTTATATACATAGTGCTTGTAATACACGTAACTCAGAGATTATGTGAAGAAAGCAGAAATATAAACAAAGGCTATATACAAATACTGTGAAATTTTATATAAATAATATGAGTACCCAGAGATTCTGTTAAGTGTAGGGTCCTGGAACCAATCACTCGTGGATACTAAGGACTAACTATATACAGGAAAGTATCCTACCTTCACACACTGAAGTGATCAATATTGTTAAAATGTACATACAATCCAAAGCAAGCTGTAGGCAACACAGTCTCAAAGTGTCTAAGATATTTTTCACAGAAATAGAACACTTTCCTAAAACTCGAATGGAATTACTGAGACTCCCAAATAGCCAAACCCATCCAAAGCAAAAAGAACAAAGCTGGAGGAGGCAGCATGTTTCTTGACTTGAAAATTTACTATAAGGAACCGTAATCCTGGCTCAGAACGTTGCGTGAAGGAAGTCTGGAGGGTTCTCTGAAATCCACTTATGGATGAAAAGACAGGACTGGCTACACAGAGCTGTGATGATGCCCACCATGAACCCCCCTCTCCCACACACACTAAGAATAATAGCAGTAACAATGATGAATTTTAAATGGTAGATATAAGAGGTAGATCATATGCTAACATGCTTGATTCAACCATTTCTTAAGTACCGCAGAATATCACATTGTAGATAATATATGTAATTTTTTTCAATTTTAAAAATTTATATTTTTACACTTTAACTTCTGCAGAAATAAATAAGTGATGGATATATCTGGATCTGGTATGACTACGGCAGCACCACCAACACCCCATAGAGAAATATCACAAAGTCAGCAGAGGAATCCCAGAACTGTGTCAGAGGTAATATTTCACCAGACACTCTTAAAACAAGGAGCTTGAAGAGTACCATCCGAGAAATCCTCATCCAGATGCAGTTTCCATAAACCTGAAAAAATACTTGTTCCTAGAGGAAGCTAACATTCTATTTCCGAGATGAAACACTAAGGCTTAGCAAAAACAAAACAGATAACATGTTGGGATAAAACAAATATGCTCAGGTCCAAACAAGTGGTCAGACGAGGGTTAAGTAAGTTTCCAGTCTTGCAAGTGAAAGACCCTACACCAGGCAGTATATGGTGGCACTCTATAGGTGGAGATGGGAAACAAAACAAAACAAAAAAAGTTTCTCTTTCCCCTGCCAGGTCAATCTGACTGTGTCAGGACACCCTGTGCAAACTGCCTCTCAGGAGCTCCCACGGTGCATCAACCCTGCCCAGGTAAGGACTTTAGTGTTTGCTTTGCAAGATGTACACATACACCAATGAAAAGTTCTTGAAAAATGAAACATTACTGAATCTACCAATGGGTTTATCATAGCTCATATGAACTGCAATAATTCTGGAACTTGGTATATTAAGAACATTGAAAACTTGAGAGTAGATGTTGTATCACAGCCCTGCCACCAGAGTAGGAGCTGTTGCTGGTGCTACTGCCGCTGGCATTGCTGTTGCTGCTGTTTCTGTTTGAAGGGAATATCTTCCCCCTGAGAAACCTAGTACCCCACTTGTAGGGGATAAAAGACAATATGAAAGAGTATTTCATGCCTTGGCTGTGCAATGCTGAATCCTGAGACATGAATTCTTTTGATCTCTATTCTCTGGAACATAGGGCACCTGTAAGGCAGATTCAGCCACAAATAAAAGCCACGTAAATGTGAGACAAATGTGGAAAGAGTTAGTATTAGCAATTCACAACATGTGTTGGTTGGGTGGGGGCCTCCCCTCCCCATGTGGCCATGACTAGAAACGACTGCCCTCTAAGGAGCACACTGCCTCTGTCCTCTCACAGGTTTTGATCTGGCTTTGAGGGAATTTTTCTTCTCTCCCTGTCTTTTTTCTTGGCTGGAACTGCAATGAGGGTAGGAGACTTTTCACTTACTGGTTCAGAGATTGTAATCTGCTTCCTTGAACTTCACTCATTCCTGCCAAATCTTTCAGCAATGGCAAAATGTCTCCCGGGCGTGCAGAGACTTGCTGCAAGAGCTGGAGTTCATTAGCTTCTATTCAGTGTTCTTCCTATTATCAGTGCACTTGGAGGGTAAACGCAATCAGCTCTCCATGTGTCATTTCTGAAATGGAAATGCGTATTCTAAAACAAAGTCTCTCGAACATAGCGTTGAAGACTCCCTTGAAGGATCTGCAAAGATCTGGGTCGCACCTCCAGGGTTCTGATCTTTCAGGTATGAAATGGAGCATAAATACATTGAAGCAAACCCCCAGGCCAAGTTGACAAGGTAGATCTAGAGACCATATTTTGATATCTACCATTTTAGAACGTCTTGATACACTCTCCCTAGCATCCAAATCAATTTAAAGGAGCTAATATCAGGATACTAGATTGTATGTGATGATTGATGTCAAACTTGTTTTATGCAAATTGTAACTATGACCTCCAGGCTACTATAATTTCTCAGGCATTAACTAAATTTGAACAGGGTTTATCTCCTGAGTCTGTGTACTAGCATTGCATAACTAAATGTGCTATGAGTCATTTGGGAGCTGGCAATCTAGACTTCAGAGGAAAGCTAGACAAGCCAGGTGTCCTGTACTAGCAATTTAGAGCTCCAGTGTGGATCTCTCTTCACACCAAGATCTTAGTTCAAGAATAAGAGACTAGATGAATAAAGAAAAAACAACTTAAGGAACTTGATACTTGTCCTTAAACTGATCAGGATACCCAAACTATGTTCCAAATGCTGATGAAACAGGGCAAAGTCTTCCTTATGCCAACAGACAAAGAACTTTGGGAACCTATACAGTCATGGTCAATGGGTAGGGAAGAAGGCAATGTAAAACACAATCCAGTGCTTATTTGTATAGTATTATTATTCCCTGGGCTTTTCCTGTCTTTGAGTTATCATTGATCACTGTATTTAAAAAAACAGAATTCTGCCAGGCAGTGGTGGCGCACGCCTTTAATCCCAGCACTCGGGAGGCAGAGGCAGGCGGATCTCTGTGAGTTCAAGGACGGGCTGGACCGATAGCTTCCAAAACAATACAGAGAAACCCCGTCTGTAAAAACCAAAAAAATAAAAAAACAGAATTCTAAAAATAAGGAAATGTAATAAAAAGCTAAATACTAGAGGAAGGGGGAACACTAGAACCTCACTGATAGGCACAATCCCTATCAGTTTCTTTATTCAATCTTTGGAAGGTGTGTATTTTTAGACAGTCCAGTTACTTTAGTGCTCCAGGGTTTGGTTGCTGGTATTTCAGATTATAGGTTTCTAGGTTCTGGTGTGCATGCATGCTTGCAAAGAAACATGGTGTTTTGAACATATTAGGCCAGTATCCTACCACTGGACTATATCCCTAACTGTGGTTCTCTAATCATAGAAGAGTTCTTATTGGCTTATTTTCATATATCAGTAATTGTTTAATAGCTACTTGTTATAAAGACTGAATACATTCAGAGGAGCATACAATTCCCCTTCACACAAAAAAGTTTAAGTTTGATGTTACATATAGAAAATTGAATGAATATGCAAATAGATCATCAGGTAATGTTTTATGGATCCAGTTCAATACAAAATGCCATCTGAATTATAAATTAGGAAAAAATGGAACTACTCAGCTACATCTTCAAAAAAAAGTTAAGCAATGGTATAAGAAATGACAAATCATATCACATATCTCATTAAAGACTATGCTTAGGAAATATGTTTTTACAAAACACAATGATAAACAAGCCAATAAAAGGACAGACAGATTAAGCAAACACTTTGTCTATTCTACATGCCTGACAATAACGGAGACGAAAAATGGTCAATGTCATTAAGTCATTAATTGTAAAGAAATGCAAATTAAAACTACAAATTAAGATAATTTCAGTTGCATTACGGTATCTAGAAGTTTTAGGAAGCCTGGATGTTCTGGTGTTGCTATCCTGTATCAGGACGAGAGGCAACGTCATCTTCTTTTGTGAGTGATAAGAATGCAAACACTAGAACTAGCTTGAAAAACAGTTGAGTAGTTTCCAAAGATAAATAAAATCTGGCCACTGAAGTCAACAGTCCCACCCAAAGAGATTTACCTAAAGAAATGAGAATACTTTTCCATGAAAGAACTCATATGTGAATGTCCATACCTGCTTTACTTCTGAAAATTGAGAGCTAGAAACAACACAGTGACCACCCACATCTGGATGGGTAAATGAACTGAAATGTCTACACAGCGGGCTGATGCTCCATATCACGAACGACTGAACTATTGATACAGCCAATAAGGAAGATCATCAAAGAAGTCAACCCTTTCCAAAATAATAACATACCACATGACTTTATGAGCAATTTTGGAAAACACAAATTAATCGACAATGGCAACAGCAAGTTGGATGCCTTCAAGATTAAAAAGTCCTAGATAAATTGGTAATCACCCCTCTAACTCAAGATAGTGTCTGAAGTCAGAGCAATAACTCAAGATAGTGTCTGAAGTCATAAATAGAAAAATAAGACAAGAAAAAGACACAAAATGATGAAAAGAAGAAAAGAAGAAGTCAAATATTCTTGTTCATAGAGGACATGATTCTATACATAAAAGACCCTACAGACTCCACCAGAAACCTCAGATCTCATAAACACTTCAAGGTGCAGGATATAAATTAGCAATGTAAAACTCAGTAGCTTTCAAGTGTACCAATAGTTAACTTGCTGAGAAATAAAGTAAGAAAAGTAGCCCATTCACAATCAAAGGACCTAGGAATAAACATTATGTGGCAGTGAAAAAACACTAAAATGAAAACTTCAAAACTCTGAAAAAAAAGAGATTAAAGATACTAGATAAAGCCCCTCACATGCTCCTGGATTGCAAATCAACATTGTAAAATGGCTATCCTGCCTGAAGGAATATGCAGACTCAATGCAATTCTCCAAGAAAATCCCAGAATCATTCTTCAAAGACCTAGAACTATCAACCCTAAAATGCATATAGAAACACAATGCCAAAGGAACCCTTAGCAGAGATGTGCTGCCTGAAGTATCACAAAACCTAACCTCAATTTACACTCCAGGGGGGCTTCAAAGGAGTTCAGAAAGTAAGACCATTTTCTGCACGAGCATGAGAATCTGAGTTCTAATCCTACCACATGGCCTAGTGTGCCTGCAATCCCAAAGTTAGGGGATGGAGACAGGTACATTCTGTGGGTTTGCTGAACAGCCATCCTAGCCCTGTGGAGAGTTTCCCATTGAGTGACCCTGTCTCAAGAGAGCAAAAGGGATAGAGAAGGACACCCACTGGCCACCTATTTTTTTTTACATAGGAATCAAAAAATATACTGGAAAAGAAGTAGCCTATTCAAAAAATGATCTTGCAAAACTAGATATTTGGATGCAAAATAATGAAATTAGATCCATATCTATTTCTTAACTGCACACAAAAAAGTGAAAGTGGATTAAATACCTTAATTTAAAATTGAAACCTGAATTTGCTAGAAGAAAACATAGGGAGTATACTTCAAATACAGATATAGGCAAGAATTCTCTGATCAAGACTCTAATACATAGGAATTAGCCTTAAGAATTAACAAATTGGACTACATGAAATTGATTCTTTCTGAACAGGAAAGAAAACTATTTACAGAGAAAACAGACAACCTAAGCAATGGGAGAAAACCTTTGCCAGTCACACATAAGACAGGTGGTTATATCTATACTGTATAAAGAACAGGAAACATTAAACACCAAAACCAATTATTTAAATTAACAGTCTAATGAAATGAACAGCCAGTTCTCAAAAGAAGAAAACCAAACAGCATATAAGTACTTTAAAACTGTTCTTAGTCATTACAGAAATGCAAGTCATGACTGCTTTAAGATTTCATCTCGCCCCAGTCAGCATGGCTATCTTCAAGAAACAAATGCTGGCCAGGATATTGGGAAAGAGGTGCACTTATTCACTGCTGGTGGGAGTGCAAATTGGCACAACCACCTTAGAAATCAGTATGTAAATGACTCACAAAATTAAAAATAGGACTTCCACATGACCCAGCTATTCCACTCTTGGATATATACCCAAATTCTTACCAGAGAATACCTGCACATCCATGTTTGCTGCATTTTTCCCAACAGCATGGAAATGAACAGTCCTACATGTCTGCCCCACATGAGTAGATAATGTAAATGCAGTATATATGTATGTGTGTGTATAATGGAATTTTACCCATCTGCAAATAAAAATAAAATTGCATAGAAACAGACGAATCTGGAAAGTATTACATTGAGGTAACTCCTACTCCTACTCAAACAAAGATCACATGTTCTTTCCAATATACACGTTCTTACTTGTTTATTTCGACATTTCGTTGGAGGGGGTATGGGTATAGGCTCAGGAACTAGGAAGGAAACCATGGAGTTATGCTGAAGAATGAAGGATGGGCAAATATTACATATGAGACATAAAAGCTGGAAAGAAGGTTATAGGTGGTGGGCAGAAGAGGAGGATGAAGAACTATGTTTTTTAAAATACCATAATGAAACTTAGTGCTATGTGTATTAATTTTCAGAATTTTTAAATGAAATTGGGAGGGGGGAAATAGGTTGGAGTTGCCTGCGGCTGTCAGAAGAGATACCAGGAAACATATTCTTGGGAGGTTTATGGTCTTGAAATTTGTGTGTGTGTGTGTATGTCACACTGCATTAATGTGCACACTTTAAACTTGTACAATGTTACATGTATTATACAATTATACTTCAATAAGACTGTTTTTAAATAGAAAAGTTCAGTTACTTATCATTCTAAGAATCACTAATGAGTTAGTAAGAAAAATCCATCTGTAGCAGATCATTTCCCATCTTAAAATTGATTATCTAAATTTACTTATCCTCAAATATGAAGAAAAGTAGAGGGAAAACACTGACCAGGTGTGGGCAATTATGTACACAATCTTCCATCCACTTGCTCAGGACAGTTCCAACTTACACCTGTTACCTGATATCCTTATTAACTGTCCTTTCATTCCCAAGGGTATCCTAATTTGGAAATAACCCATTATATGCTCATGGTCATGTGCTTAGCCATCCTACGAAGATGCTCTGTCTTCTTAGTAACTGCAGAAAAAGCAAACTGAAATCAC